TTAAGGACATGTTCATCCTTTCTGCTACACCATTCTGCTGTGGTGTCTTCCGCACTGAAAAATGCCTCTGAATCCCATGCTCGTCATAGAACTTCTGAAACTGTGAATCTGTGTACTCTGTGTCATTATTAGACCTCAAATACTTGATCTTTCTGTCAGTTTGGTTCTCCACCTCAGCTTTCCACAGCTTGAATTTGGAGAAAACTTCAGATTTCTGCTTCAAGAAATACACCCAAACTTTTCTGGAAAAATCATCAGCAAAGGTAACAAAATACTGAAATCCTCCCAATGATAACTCCCTAGTAGGGCCCCATACATCAGAATGCATATAATCAAGAATTTCTTTAGTTTTGTGCTTTCCACTCATAAAACTGACTCTAGTCTGTTTTCCAAGAATACAGTACTTACAAAGATCGAGCTTGCAGCTTTTAACTCCATGCAACATATTTCTTCTATGCAATTCGGCTATCCCACGTTCACTGAGATGACCCAGACGCATATGCCATAGCTTTGTACTGTCATTATCTGACTCCACAGAATGAACTCCACCTACAACTGTACTCCATAACAGTTTGTAGATATTACCTGCAGTCAACTTTCCTTTCATCACCGTCAGTGCACCCTTAACAATTTTGATGGTTTCCCTATCCTCATCAGTCTTAGGAATAAAACCATTTCTGTGTAGAGTGCCCAAGGAAATCAATTTTTTTTTCAAATCTGGAATATGTCTGACATCACATAACGTTCTAACAGTTTCATCATACATCTGAATTTTGACTTCTCCAATACCAACTATATTGCAACATCTATCATCACCCAAATAGACTGAGCTAGAATTAGTTGACCTGTATGAAGTAAACCACTCTCTGTTAGGTGTTAAGTGATAAGAGCACCCTGAATCAAGAATCCATGCATCCGTGAACTGAGTTGATGAAACTGAGAGGATATCACCATCACTGCAATCTGAATTTTCATTCTGCACCACATTTACAGACTTCGATGAAGTATCACATTTCTCCCCAGTCTGATTCTTCAGCTTTGGACAATCTCGCTTCATATGAACTGGATCCTTGCACTTGTAGCAATGAATTTCCTTTTTGCCTCTAGACTTTGATCTGGAATTTCGCCTTCCAGATCCCTCCTTCTCTTTCTTCCTTTCACGATCCTGCTTATTCTTCACATATAAACTGCCACCGTGAGAGCTTTCTCCTGCATTCTGCTTTCGCTGGTTGTGAGCCAATAATGCTGCAGTAATCTCATCCACTTTGATAGTTTCTTTTTCATATGTTAGAGTAGTCACCAGGTGTTCATAGAAAGAGGGCAATGAACACAAAAAAATCATCGCACGATCTTCATCCTCAATACTCACATCAAGCCGTGATAAATCAGTGATTATTTGATTGAAGCCATTCACGTGCTG